TGCTCCCAACTTATACTTCAGTGGGAGATTTCCAACCTATTGGAAAATCATTTAACACACACACACCCCATTTTTGTAGGGACTCCTATGTACAAAGACGAGGGGGTCAAACTATTTTCCAAAGCACCAATAGGTAAGACAAGAAACGATGATTGGTATGTAACCAAGGAGACAAGCAACCTAGAACTAAGGAGAAAGTTTGTAATGGTGAGATCAATTAACCAATGGAATAACTTGCCTTCAGAAGTTATCAGACACCTGGCTCATATCATATGTGGTGGACATGTGTAGAAGCTAAAAAAATATTGGATAAAAATATGCACATGCTTGGAAAAGATGTTACAACATATTGACTTGAAACTTGAAATATTCCTGTTGGGGATCTTACCAGAAACTTATAGTAAATAAAATGTATATTTGATTATTCATGTAATAACCACAGCTAGAATTGTTATTGCACAAAACTGGAAAAGTGAAGAGATTCCTACAGAGGAGAATATGGTAAGGAAGATATTAGAATGTGCAGAAATGAATAGATTAACACTGGCAATTAAAGAGAAAGAACAAAGTGGTTATTATACGATATGGGAAACATTTTATCGATGGTTAGGGGATAAATATAAGAATTAGAAATAAAAGTAGATGAGTAAAATATAGAAAATAGTTAATAGAGTTAAGCAAACTAAGAAGAGGATGTAAAGTATCAGATATTTAATGTATAGGTATTAAATTAAGACTAGATTAAATAATGAATATGATTGTAAATTTTAACTGTTATTGCACAAACCTTTGTACCCAGATGACACGATGTTTAATGGAAGATGGATTATTTGTACTAAAATAAAATATAAATAAATAAAAAGAAGAAGAAGTTGTGGGTGATCCATCATGGAAGGCTAAAAAAAAAAAAGACTGGACAACCAATTGTCTGAAATGATATAGGGGGTTAGACTAGAAGACCTTCAAGGTCCCTTCAACTCTATTATTCTGTGTTTTATTTAAGATGTAACTCTGCCCTAATTTACCTGCATCTCACTGAATTCCAATGGATATAATCCTCAGCAGTCAGTACATAGACCCACTCTTTAACAAGGCAGTTGGTTGCAATATTCACAGCTCATAAACTCCTTTCCTCCTCCCCCTGCAGTCTCAAAGAGTTGCTTAAATTAGGAAGAGCCACCGTGCAGCTTTCTCAAAGTTTTCAATTCTGAAGGTCAGGATACGAACGGCTGTATATCAGTGCTGAAATCCAATTTTTTTTACTACCAGTTTTGTGGGCGTGGCTTGGTGGGCGTGGTGTGGTTTGGTGGGTGTGGCAGGGGAAGGATACTGCAAAATCTCCATTCCCTCCCCACTCCTGGGGGAAGGATACTGCAAAATCTCCATTCCCACCCCACTCCAGGGGAAGAATACTGCAAAATCTCCATTCCCTCCCCACTCCTGGGGGAAGGATATTGCAAAATCTCCATTCCCACCCCACTCTGGGGCGTGGTATTTTCCGGTTCTCCGAACTGCTCAAAATTTCCGCTACCGGTTCTCCAGAACCTGCTGGATTTCATCCCTGCTGTATATCCTACATATCAGAGGGGGCACATTCTATTGAGGAAGACATCAACAAACAAAACAACGATAAAATGAGAGTCACAGCAGCAACAGAAGCATCCCAATTTGCGGGAGATTGTGAATCAGTGTGTGCTGGATCCCAGTGACTGACTTGGAGTATCTTCCTCCTTTCTATCAACTTCCTTACAGTGTTACCTTGAATTAATTACTAGGGATATAGATATATATATATATATATATATATATATAATATATATATAATATATATAGATATGATAGTATATGATGATGATGTATGTATGTATGTAGATATGATATGATATATATATATATATATATATACATACATATATATATATATATATATATATATATAATATATATATATATATATATATATATATATATATATATATATATATATATATGTATATGTATGTATATATATTGAATCGTTTTGAAAGCATCCAACGATTGCAGCGAACAGACTGTCAATCTTAGACGAACTGTCAGTCTCTCAGTCATTTCTACGAATGTGTTATTGCCATCTAGAGAGAGAGGGAGATTAGACGCAGTCTGGAGGAGGACGGGTGGACTAGAAGACCTCTGAGGTCCCTTCCAACCTTTTCTATGTTGTATGGATGTGTAGCAAATATACCTGTGCACATGGCTGGTGAGGACTATCGAGAAAGGAAGGAACAAGATCAAAGCAGAACTGGAGAAGAATGGAACAGAAGTTGTGCTTCAGGTCTTTTCCGATGTCCCCTCCTGTTACCTAGAGAATGGACGTTCACTTAAAAAAAAAAAAAAAAAAAAAAAACTTTTACTTTCACTACCAAACAGCCAGACTGACTCTGTATGTATTTACCTTGAAGGGAACCTGGGAGATTAAGCCACGAAACCAACAAAGGATTTTCTTCCTACCTTAACCTTGCCTTCCCCCCACCCACCCCCAAGCCGCCAAAATCCTTTAACAAATTAATTAGTCCTAATGAATGAACGCTTCATTTTAGTTAAACGTGCTGCAGTTCATGAATTAAATTTTCATGCGGTGATTAAAGGCTCTTAAAATATGCATGGTTTCGTTAAAATTTTATCATAAATCAGCACAATGCGTTACATGACAAGGCAACTATTTCCCCGTCTCTCTCTCCCTCTCTCTCCCATTCTGTCACTCTCTTTCTCTCTCTCTTTCATTCTCTCATTCTCTCTCTCTCATTCTTTCTTTTCTCTCTCTCTCCCATTCTCTCTCTCTTTCTCTCTCTTTCTCTGTCTCTCATTCTCTCTCTCAATCTCTTGCTCTGTCTTTCTCTCTCTCTCCCATTCTCCCATTCTCTCTCTCTCTCCCATTCTCTCTCTCTTTCTCTCTCATTCTCTCTCTCTTTCATTCTCTCATTCTCTCTCTTCCATTCTCCCATTCTCTCTCTCTTTCTCTCTCATTCTCTCTCTCTTTCATTCTCTCATTCTCTCTCTCTCATTCTTTCTTTTTCTCTCTCTCTCCCATTCTCTCTCTCTTTCTCTCTCTCTCATTCTCTCAATTCTTGCTCTGTCTTTCTCTCTCTCTCCCATTCTCCCATTCTCTCTCTTTCTCTCCTTCCCATTCTCCCATTTTCTCTTTCTCTCGCTCTCTCTTTCATTCTTTCATTCTTTCTCTCTCATTCTCTCTGTGTCATTTCTCTCTCTCTCTCTCTCCCCTCTCTCCTCTCGCCCCCGCCCCACTTTTCTCCCTCCCTCCCTCCCCTCCGATTGAAACGGGAGGAATGTGTGTGGAATTCAGGGTCGCTCTAGGACTGAAGCATCACTTCGCTCCTCCCGGGTTTTTTTTTTTTTTGGCAGGCGAAAGCTCCTCAAACGAGTTCACGTTTTAACTTTCGAGATCGATCCCTTCCAGCTCTTCCCCCGCCCCGCGATGTAAAATGTACTTTCACTGCCTCTTAAAGAGAGTGAAAGAAACGCCATCACCAGAAGAGGGGCGGAAGGTCACGGCCGAAAGTTGAAATCGATCATGCCTAAAAAAGGATCGCTGGAAAAAAAAAGTTAAGACTTTTTTTAAAAAAAAAGAAAAAGAAAAGAACCGGGTTTTGAAAGCCTACGAAGTTATGGATTCCGTGCACATCAGGAGCTGGGAAATGGTTCTGTGTGCTTCCACAGAGACAATTCCTTCAAAACTTCCCTATTACTCCCTCGGTGCTTTCTTCTTCTTCTTCTTCTTCTTCTTCTTCTTCTTCTTCTTCTTCTTCTTCTTCTTCTTCTTCTTCTTCTTCTTCTTCTTCTTCTTCTTCTTCTTCTTCTTCTTCTTCTTCTTCTTCTTCTTCTTCTTCTCCACCATCCACGTGTCCTTCATTTAGCAAGAAATGTCACCGACCATCCTTAAGAGTCTGTAGCGATTCTCAGTCATCCAGGTCGCGTTTTTTTTTTTAAAAAATGGATTTATATGCCGCCCTTCTCTGGAGACTCAGGGCGGCTTACAATGCGTTAAGCAATAGCCTTCATACTTTTGTATATTTATACAAAGTCAGCTTATTGCCCCCACAATCTGGGTCCTCATTTCACCAACTTTAGAAAGGATGGAAGGCTGAGTCAACCTTGAGCCTGGTGAGATTCGAACTTACAGTAATTGCAGACAGCTGGTGTTAATCACAATGCTATCAGTCTGCTGAGCTACCAGGCGGTTGTCCCAAAGGCGTTTTTTTCAGGAGGCAATTGGACTTTCTGTTTGTTTTTTTCCTTTTGAAGACGTTTCGCTTCTCATCAAGGAATATAAACCCTTGATGAGAAGCAAGGAATATAAGTGCAAGGAGTATAAATCCTTCCATTCTCCACCATCCTGTCAGAGCTGAAGAAGCTTCTTGGATGAGAAGCGAAACGTCTTCAAAAGAAAAAAAAAACAGAATCCAGCCGCCTCCTGAAAAAAATGCACCTTTGGGACGACCATCCTTAGCTGAACTCAAACCTTTTGTTGTCTGCAAACGACTCCGTTGAAAATCTTTTTTCTTTTTTTTCCGGTGAAGGTAATTGCTAATGTTGCAGGGGGTCCCCGAGATGAACGTTCTCGCACGTGTGAACCAATCCAGAATGCGAATGGATTTCAATACACGGAAAATGTGGGGGGTGGGGGGGGGGGGAGTTTGAGCTGACTTAATTCTGTTAGGAAACTCAGAGGGAAATGTAAGCCCCATTCTGTGCATGTTTACAGAGAAGTAACAGACAGTAATGTTAAGTTTATATACCAAAACATAATTTCATTTTTTTTCTTTTTCTTTCTTTCTTTTTTTCTTTTTTTCTTTCTTTCTTTCTTTCTTTCTTTCTTTCTTTCTTTCTTTCTTTCTTTCTTTATATGCCGCCCTTCTCCGGAGACTCAGGGCGGCTTACAATGCGTTAAGCAATAGCCTTCATACTTTTGTATATTTATACAAAGTCAGCTTATTGCCCCCACAATCTGGGTCCTCATTTTACCTACCTTAGAAAGGATGGAAGGCTGAGTCAACCTTGAGCCTGGGGAGATTCGAACTTACAGTAATTGCAGGCAGCTGAATGTTAATAACAGGCTATTAGCCAGCTGCGCCACCAGGCCCCTCAAATAATGATTTGAGCTTTATATTAACAGAATAAAAAAGTTGGAAGGGACCTTAGAGGTCTTCTAGCCCAACCCCTTGCTCAAACAGGATACCCCTATAATATAATTATAATTACAAAAAAATGGCTGTCCAGTCTCTTCTTAAAAGCCTCCAGTGATGGAGCAACCATAACTTCTTAAGGCAAGCCGTTCCACTGGTTAATTGTTCTCACAGTTAGGAAATTTCTCCTTAGTTCTAAGTTGACGTCAATGGAGATTCTCAGTCATCCAGGTAATGGTTATTCCCAAAGGTGCTTTTTCAAGAGGCAACTGGACTTTCTTGTTTTTCTTTGAAGACCTTTTGCTTCTCATCCAAGAAGCTTCTCCAGCTCTGAAGGTCTAGGTTGCTTCTCTCCTTAATTAGCTTCCCTCCATTGCTTCTTGTCCTGCCTTCTGCTGCTTTGGAGAATAGGTGGACCTCCGTTTTCCTTGTGGCGGCCCCTCAAATATTGGAAGTCTTGCTGAAATCAATGGAACTGACCTGCCACTTATTCACAGGACCCAGCTAAATGCTCTGGAAAAGGAAACAGGATTGGATTTGGTCAGTAGTCAGATAGGAGACCATCAGGAGATCCCAGAAGTGTAAACTAGACTGTAAAACAAGGTTCCACATCACTCCCAAGAAGAACAGCATGGACAGTTCCATGAAGTCACCAAAAGTCAAGTTTGAATGAAGGAGACTTCTATTTCCTTCCTCATATTTATGTGTGATTTTTGATGCCTCCAATCTTGCCTTTTTCCTCCTGAAAGGAGACAGCGGAGAAACTGCCTTTGGGATCTGAAATCCCAATTAAGCTTTTTTCCCCCCATATTTAATAAGGGCATGTTCTATGCCTTGGCTGCAAAAGCAATCACCCACAGCTTGGACTTAGCTTAATAAGGCTTACATTCCTATGTAAGGAATAAGGGAACCACAAATATAAATATGTGAATATGTGGGGATGTGGAATATAAATTGTGGATATACACAGATATGGAACTGTTGTGAAATGGAAACTTTTTTTTTTGTTAGAATAGAATAGAATAGAATTTTTTATTGGCCAAGTGTGATTGGACACACAAGGAATTTGTCTTGGTGCATACGCTCTCAGTGTACATAAAAGAAAAAATACATTCATCAAGAATCATAAGGTACAACTCTTAATGGTAGTCATAGGGTACAAATAAGCAATCAGGAAACAGTATCAATATAAATCATAAGGATACAAGCAACAAAATTACAGCCATACAGTCATAAGTGGAAGGAGGTGGGTGGTGGGAACGATGAGAAGATTAATAGTAGTGCAGACTTAGTAAATAGTTTGTCAGTGTTGAGGGAATTATTTGTTTAGCAGAGTGATGGCATTCGGGAAAAAACTGTTCTTGTGTCTAGTTCTTGTTCTTGTTTTTAAAGAAAAAAATAATAAAAAATATTTTTAAAAATAAAATAAAATGGTAAATATTAAAAAAAAAAAAAAAAAAGAAAAAGAACATGGAAATGCTTTTTGAGCATTCAGCCATAGCATATTTTGGTGGGGTAAATTGATAGGCTGTTCCTCCCTAGTCTCCCAACATCTTCTTAAGGATGACCTAGTCTTGAAAGAAATTGCCTTGATGTCTGCAAGCAACTTCCTAGATCTATTTCTCTCCAGGGTGGCAGGACTGAACTTCTTAGAACTTCCAGTTAATGGGAGAGCTGCAGTATCAACACACCTGGAGGACAATTGGTGGGGCAAAGCTGTAGAGAGATGCAGTGACACAAAACCACAGGTTCTCAGCTGGCATAAGCTTGTGTACCCTTCCCATCCTCATCAGGCATTTATTCATTTTCTGAGCGTAATATTCCTAACTTTAAATATCACACTGGTCTGGGTGATGCAGCTGTTTTTGGTATTAGCTTGATGACAAGTTTTTCCAAGACCTGTGAGATCTGTAGCTACGTGATGCCATAATGATGTTGCCATCTAAAATAAAGCTAAAGAGAAATTGGGTTACCTGGTCATATGCAGGTGGCATTACCCATTGGTGAATGCCACCTGCACATCGAGGACACCTTCCTGTTTCTGAGAATGTGAGATGAAAGAAAATTCCTGGAAATACTGGTTTACTTCTGTTTCCGTATTTCCATAACATATGTTTGCCTTTAGTTTTCATCTCACTGAATCATAATCAGCCATAAAAAGAGATCTCCAATCCAGCTATGTCTCCAAAGAATCACAGGTCTCCCAAACCTGAATATTTAGATGGATGCTGATATTGGTGAGCATTGGAAAGGTCCATCTTGAAGGACCAGCACCTATTCCAATGCGTTGGGATATCCAGAGAGGGAATTTTGGGTTAATCAAATTTAGCCAAGTTTCTTTCAGTTAGACCAGATGGAAACTTTTGGGAAGAATTGATGGATGAGGAGAACTCCAGCTTCTACTCAGCTTCTTCTTACTCTCATATGAGGATAGATTATTGAGTTTGGGTATTGGAAATATATAAGTTGGAGATCACCTCCAACACCCACCCGCCCTGCCATCTTCCAATGAAGAAACATCCGCCTTTTCTTTCAGGACCATGGACAGGGAAATGTCTATATCATTCCAACTGGATTGCTGCCTTATGAGTAAAGTATCCACAAAGGAGATGGCTTCTAAAATAACTAAATGTGGAACCCAATGGTGGTCAATTTTTCTGGATTACTCCAGGCACCCAGTTTATAAATCTGATGGAATCATTGCAATCCTCTTTTTTTTTTTTTTGGTCTTTTCACACAAGAGAGATCCAAATAATTAGGTCAAAACAAATTCTTTCTAATTATATATATTTGTGTGTGTGTGTGTGTGTTTAAAAACCTTTTTATCAGCTGAAAGCCAAAAAGAGATAGAAATGAAAGTCAAAAAAACTTGATCATGGAATTATGGAGTGAAAGAAAGATTTTACTATATATATAAAAAGCCACATATTCACATCTCATAGTAGTCTCCTTATTCCAAAATGTTCATTTGCATGTTATTACCAACCGTTTTCTGTTGAGACACATAAAGGGGAGGAAAAACCCCAACAAAGAGGCATGGAAAAGATACCTGGATTTGCGCTATAATAGAAATTAATCCTTAAACTTCATCAGTTGTAGGGTTTTCATTTAAAAGCAAATGGTTTCTGCAAGCAGTGACTTCGATGGTCGCTGGGGAGCTGTCCAGCAATAGGAGTTCCTGAAAAAAGCACAGCATCTGGTCACTCAGAACCTCGCCATTCACCGATTCAATTATCACGATCTTCACATTTCACGAAGGCTCAAAGCACTTCAGGCACACCTTCCCCGCCATAATATCAGAACAATTTCCTTTCAATCACTCTGCAGTATCTTCTACACTTGGAGGCTGAGGGCTGAGAACGAAGCATTCCGTCGTAAAGGCAGAACTCAGGGAGAAATGCTGGGACGGATTCCTCCTTCAGTCTCTTAAAGCGCTGAGCTGCCTCTGGTCTCTTACCGTGAGTGGAATCATCTCTGAAGCTATTCCCACTTTTTTGCAAAGCGCCTTTGAAGTAATCCATGAAACAATCCCAGTTGGACAGTCCAGCCTGTCCAATTCTAACATTTCAATATGTTAAAATGCAATCCCCATGATTCTTATCTCAGAAGAAAAGTGATTTGATGATGATTGTGCAGTGGAATCTGAGGCAAATGGAAGAAATGGACGGAGAGAACCCTGGTCTTAGTCTTGTCTCCTATTAGCTTTTCAAAAGCAGTATTCATGGGAGAAGCAACCACGAATGGCCCACCTTGGGTGCCCTCTGAGAGCAATTCATTCCAGTCTTCTGCTTAGAATGCTCAGGAATGGCATCGAAGGCTTTAATGTAATGTGGCAATTGATAGAAATGCAATGAAACAAACCAAATGAAAACTCCTAAACTAGTTAGAAAAGGAAAATAAATTTAAGAAATTGATCACAGAGAGAAGAAGCAAGTTTACCCTACTGTCACAAATATAACATTTGTACTAATATTGCTCTCAAAGGTTGCTCTGCCCTGTTTGTTCCTTTCCTTTCCTTTCCTTTCCTTTCCTTTCCTTTCCTTTCCTTTCCTTTCCTTTCCTTTCCTTTCCTTTCCTTTCCTTTCCTTCCTTTCCCTTCCCTTCCCTTCCCTTCCCCTCCCCTCTTTCCCTCTCTTGCTTACTTTAAATTCTATGAAGGTCCAACAGCTTCTTCATCCAACTACCTTTCTCTACATCTTATGGAATATATTTTTTTCCTGCCAGAAAAGCCTTCCACTCAGCCTTTTTTAGAAATGCATTCAACCTTAACTTTTCTAGCTCTACTTTATCTACCGCTAAAGCCAGTGGCTTTTGAGAGTTCTCAGTTGGGAGCTAACTCATCCCAGTTGTTGTAATGGGGCTCCCTTATAAATACTCTAGTGGGATGCTACTTGTATATATGCTGTTAGTAGTTTATGAATTAAGAAATTGTAAACGTTGACTCTGAAGTCCACCATTAAAAAAAATTATCTAGTTGGCTCAGCATGATGGGATGGTTTCAACAAGCATTGTCAGCTCTGAAGTGAAAACGCAATCCCAGAATTGCACCTGTGGTCTCCCACCACCCTGAAAATGCCTTCCCTGCTTCCATCCTTGGGCCATCTGAGAAGAATGCAGACATTCAGAATAGGCCACCTTTTACTGATGAATCTTTCCACCCACCCGTTCTCACTAAAGATCCTTGCCAGGCAGCCACACACTCACAACACTGTTGGTGATTGGTATTTGACAGCACTCAGTCCTCACAACTGGTGAGAGTCCAATCATGGTTTGCAAAGAGGCAAGGATCTGAAGGCATGAGCTTGCAAGACATGCCTTACTGTTCATTTTTCGTCAGCTAATGATAATCTGGAGTTCACAAGATAAATAATGCTAGTCTTTCCCCAACCCATTCCTGACAGAGCAGAGTACTTGGGATACCCTTCTCAGAGATCTCTAGATCTGAATTTAGGAACCCCATGTGACACATTTAAGGCTGAAGAAGGAAATTAAGGAGTGCTACAGCCACTTGGGCTATGGGGAAAAATAGGCAGGAGGTCAATAATAGAAAAAGTGGGTGTTGATGCCATGAATATATATATATTACAAACTATTCTAATAGTTTATATTAGATATATATATATCAATATATGATATATATACCAATCTTGGGGAGGGTCGAAAACAATGCTCCCCAATGTTTAAAAGAGAATATCATTCCCTTGACCAATGTCCTCACTCATTTTCTCTCTCTTATTATTATTTCACATTAGTTGTTTATTTCCAGTCACTATTATTGCCTACAGCCTCTGTGTGTGTGTGTGTGTTTAAAGGGAATCAGAAATGGGACTCCTGAAGCTTATTCTCTGATTATGGAGATGGGGCGTGCTCATACATGGGAAGGAAGACATAAACATTCAAATCCGAGGTCTTGTTTTAATAGGAGTTCTATTTTAAGAATCCTTACTTCACACACACACACACACACACACACAGAGAGAGAGAGAGAGACACACACAAGGGACACCTCTAAAGAAGTAACCAAAGGACCCGAGTTGCACTTACTTTTTTTCATCCATAAAATGGAAATAAATTAGTTTGCTGAAGAGATAAACAAGGCAAGTGACCTTCCTTTGAAGAATGAAAGGCTCTTTGGATCAATCCATAATTTTACAAATAACGTCGGAAATATTGTTTGGTGGAAATAAAGGGAATGTTTTGACATCAGACCTACGCAGGTATATCTGGAGGCTTATTATCTTGTTACTTCAAATGAATTCTTTTTCTCCCCCGCAAATAAGCATGCTCCTGCTACGTTTGAGAAAAACACGAGCTCCTTCAAGTTAGATCTGTGACTCTTTCTTTGTTATCCTTCCATCTATGTAACAGACAGATTAGCAGTAAACCACCAACCTGTGCTTCCTTTGAACCAAGCTAAATTCAGACCATAAGGTTTACTTAAAAAGCTGGGATATTGTTTTTCGGGCTCCTGGAGGGAGAGAGGGAGGGAGATAGGGGAAACTGTAGACCTTCGCTGAAATATGGATTATTTTAAGGAGGTAATGGGCTATTCTTAAGCTCAGTAGTCACTTCCCCCCCTTTGAATCCCACCCACTCATTCAAGATTATCTAAGCGAATCGCTCTCAAAGAAATAACTGATTCCATGAGCATCCGGTGTTGCTGTTGAAGGGTGCTGAACAAGCAAAGGCATTTCTAAAGAAGAAAGGAGAAGCAGGGCATGAATTTGGGTGAAGGCAAAGTTCTGAATGATGCCACCAAAGGCAAAGATGCCACCAAAGGCAGAATCTCCCAAGAAAGACCATGTCCCCCATAAGGGGGCAGAGATTGGCGGGACCTTTTCAAACAGAAGCAACCCTGAACCATAATTGGTGGCTCACAGCTCCCCTCTACATACAGATTCATGGATTGCAATGGATTCCCCACCCACCCACCCACCCCCCAATACTTTTTACGGGGAGCCCAAAGGAAAGCTCACCAACTTCTCTGGGATGGGAATATTAGCGTTTTGTTTTCTGACATCCAATCTAAGCATCAAGTTCGTTGGAAAGCTAGCAAACCCCTTTATTAAGGAGCGGGCGAAGAGTTGCGCTGAAAGCAACGGCACAAACGCAGGTTGACTTTTCAGCACCGAAGTGAGTGGACAGCGTCGGACCCCCCCACACACACCACCCTCTGCGGGCCGCCAGCCGACCCAGCTCCAGCAATAATGACTGAAACCGTAGGGAGCGCTTTAACAATAACGCTTCCTATTATCTTTACAAGGCTGAACAGAAACTGCCCTTGCCGGATTGAAAGCAAAGCGAGCAAAGATTGCGAGTCTTTAAACACCCCAACCCCAACGCGGAAAGTCATCCGGCATCCAGAGGTGTTTGCAAGGCAAGGAAAGTCTCCGGGTTGGGCTCGGCGGCTGCAGTTTGCGCCGAAAGTAACAGTAAGTCAATGTACCCATCTCGCCTCCGCCGCATTTTCACCAGGACTCAGCTAAGCGCTGCCCGCTATCCTGAGCCCCTGACCCGCGCGGGGCAGAGCGCCGCCGGGTTCCCCCCTTACCCATCGCTCCTCTGCAAGCGTGCCAGGAGGGGGCACTGGCTTGGGAACCCCCAGGTCGACATCAGTTGCCTTGGCCTTTGTCCTCTCTGCGGACTCCTGGGCTGCTTGACGTGAGCTCGGCTATGCAACTCAGGGGGCGGGGAGGAGAAGGAGGAGGTGGGGGAGGAGGAGGAGGAGGAGGAGGGGGCAAGGGAGGCAGAGCTCAGGAAGGAGGAGGGGAGAGACCAGGCCAGTCCATCAAAACTGGAGGCGCAAGTTCTCGCGAGAGGGAGAACCGGTCGGGAGCCCCGGGATGTGGGCTCAGGTGGAAGCAGAGCGCATCTCCTGCCAGCCCGGGGGTAGAGCAGGCAGAAGAGTCGAGCGGCCCGGGTTGCAGGAAGGCTCGCCCTGCGCGCTCCCGGGGAGCTGCCAGCCTCAGTAGCTTCGGATGTGCTGCTGCGGCGGCGGGGGCGGCAGCCTGGCTGTGCTCGGCGCACAGAGAGCCCTTTCGCCCGGCGCGCTGGTGGCGCTAGGCGCGGATCTCCTCCTGGTCGCCGTTTCTCTCTTGCTCTCCACCCGCCGAGCCGCCACGATGATGTCCATGAACAGCAAGCAGCCCCACTTCGCCATGCACCCGACCCTGCCGGAGCACAAGTACCCTTCGCTTCACTCCAGCTCGGAAGCCATCCGGAGAGCATGTCTCCCAACTCCGCCGGTAAGAAAAGACGCGGCCAGCCGGACTTTCTTTCTTTCTTTTTTTTTTTACCCCGGTCTTTTTCTCTCCCCCCCCCACGCACCCCACCCTCCCGCCCCCAACGAGCCCGGCGTCCTCGGTCCCTCCCGGCCCCCGCCGCACAGTGGGTGCCTTCCTGGCTTCAGCCGCAGCGGCTGCCTCGTGGCTTTCAGCCACCGCCTCCGCCCTTCTGGAGGGTTCGGTTGAAAAGGGGGCTTTCCTGCCCCTGAATTTTTTCCCCCCTGCTTCTTTTGCGGGGTCTCCTTCGAAATTGACCCGGCAAGTAAGGCCGAGGCAAGCCAATCGGTCTCCTCTGGCACCTTCGCTTTCGCCCTTTCTTGCTCTCCCTTTCCCGGCTCGCTGGCTCACGGAGGGCTCCCTCCATTTCCCCCGCGGTGAAAAAAAAGAAAAAAGAAAAAAGAAAAAGAAAAACTTCTTGGCTCTTCTCTCGCTTAACCAACTTGCCTGTTTTTTTCTCTCTTTCTCTCTCTCTTTCTCTCCCTTTTCTTCCTCCCGGTCCTCACTTTCCGTCCTCTCCTTCCCGCTGCTCCTCCGGCCAAAATGGTCCCCAAACCTTTACGCTCCGCGCTTCTCTCTCTCTCTCTTCACTGCATCCGTGCGCTCTCGGGTGGACCTTTCCTATTCATTTTCCCGCGGCCGTGAATTTTTTTTTCTGCCGCTCATCCCACACACCTCTGCTCCATCCCTTCTTCTCCTGCACCCCTCTGTCCCCCCACCACCCTTCCGCCTTTCTTTTCCGCCTCCCATCCGTCCTTTTCTCCTACACGGCAAAACAACTTTTCCCTTGAATTCCTTCGCCACCCGAACCTTTTCCCTGTCTTTTTTGGTTAACGCTTCCCGGCGGCTTGCTTCCCTCCCTCCCTCCCTCCTTTCCTTCTCGGGGATGCCTTCCTCTTCCCCCACCGTGGCCCCCTTTTTTTCCCCCCTCTCCCTCGCTGCCCCGTTTCTCTTTGTCGGTTGTAGCTGCAGGGCAATCTCTTTGCCACCCTGGACGAGACGTTGCTGGCGCGGGCAGAGGCTCTAGCCGCCGTGGACATCGCCGTCTCGCAGGGCAAAAGCCACCCTTTCAAGCCGGACGCCACCTACCACACCATGAACAGCGTGCCCTGCACCTCCACCTCCACGGTGCCCTTGGGCCACCATCATCACCATCACCATCACCATCACCAGGCGCTGGAACCGGGCGACTTGCTGGAGCACATCACCTCCCCTTCGCTCGCGCTCATGTCCGGCGGCGGGGCGCACGAGGGGGCGGCCGGCGGGGGCGCAGGCGGCGGCGGCGGAGGAGGAGGAGGAGGAGGAGGGCTGATCTCCACGTCCGCCCACCCGCACTCCCACTCGCACATGCACGGCTTGAGCCACCTGGCGCACCCGGCGGCCGCTGCGGCCATGAATATGCCTTCAGGCCTGCCCCACCCGGGGCTGGTGGCGGCGGCTCACCACGGGGGCGCCGCCGGGCAAGCCGCCGCGGCCGCGGCCGCAGCTGCAGGCGCCGCCGGGCTGGCTTCCATCTGCGACTCGGACACGGACCCACGCGAGCTGGAGGCCTTCGCGGAGCGGTTCAAACAGCGGCGGATCAAGCTGGGCGTGACGCAGGCCGACGTGGGCTCGGCGCTGGCCAACCTCAAGATCCCCGGCGTGGGCTCGCTGAGCCAGAGTACCATCTGCCGCTTCGAGTCGCTCACGCTCTCGCACAACAACATGATCGCGCTCAAGCCCATCCTGCAGGCGTGGCTGGAGGAAGCCGAGGGGGCCCAGCGCGAGAAAATGAACAAGCCCGAGCTTTTCAACGGCGGCGAGAAGAAGCGCAAGCGGACTTCCATCGCTGCGCCGGAGAAGCGCTCCCTCGAGGCTTACTTCGCCGTCCAGCCGCGACCCTCCTCGGAGAAGATCGCCGCCATCGCCGAGAAATTGGACCTCAAAAAGAACGTGGTGCGAGTTTGGTTTTGCAACCAGAGACAGAAGCAAAAACGCATGAAATTCTCCGCCACCTACTAAAACCGGGCGTGAGTTAAACGCGGGGCTTGGTTAGATGCCCGGAGACGGACCGAGAAACTGAAACTTTTGAGTGGAAAGAGAGAGGAAAGTGAGAGAGACAGACAAACAAACACAAACACACACACACACAAAACCCGAGCAGTCTCCCTCTCGGAATCCACCCACGCAAACTGACCTTGACCCCCGAGAAAGGACTCGCGCACAGCCCCCGCGAGACCTTGGCAGCCTGGGGAGGGGGGAGGGCGGAGGGCGGAGACTTTGGGGCAGGGGGAGGGGGCACCGAGGGGCGAGGGCTGCGCGGAGGGGGAGCAACTGAAGTTTGGGAAGCCAACGGACTTCTCCTTTGGACTAAAGACTCTTGGAGGGGAAATAATATTAATAATAATAATAATAATAATCGCTGGGGGGACCAGGGACCTAGCGAAGCCCAGCGAGATGCTGCGGAGAATCCCGAGCCGAGGGTCGGTTCCGTACTCTCCTTTTTCCTTACCTTTTTGCAGATTTGGAAAAGGAAAAAGGGGGTTGGAAGGGGCCGGGAAGGTTGGGGGCGAAGACAGAGAAGAGTTCATTTCTTGGGTCGGATCCCTTCGGAAAGGGAGGACGAATTGCAGCAGAAACACACCTAACGCACACGCACAAACACACACTAGTATTGTAGACGAAACCACGAGGTCTTTTGCAGATGATGATGGTTATTCCGGTTATCATGATCGTTACGAAATTGCGGATTGACGCGGAAGGGAAATCTACCCGATGCGGAAATAGCGCTGGTTCGGCTTTCCTGGCTTTACATTATTGTTTTCGTTTTCAAGCATGAGTGTCCCTTTTGCTGTCACGCCAGGAATTTCTCCCTTTTGAATTGACGAAATGAATGGCTCCAATTCTTTCTTTCTTTCTTTCTTTGTTCGTTTGTTTGTTGCCGGAGAGGGGCTGGGAAAAAAAACAAAAAACACGGCTTTGAAAGGGGGCAGGATTTTGGTTAAGGACCCGCCAAGGTATCCAAAGATCGTTGCTATTTCAGAATTAGTGATTTTTTCCCCCTCCCTCGCTTCCCCCAACCCACCTCCCCCACCCCTTAAGTGTAGGGAAAAACGACCCACGTTTGAAATGATTTCCGTCCGTAGTTGGTTTGGCGTTTAAGCGAAGTAAATTTCGAATTCTTAAAAAGATAGGAATGAAATCCGTTCGGAAGACAGCCGAGTTGGCAAAGGGGGGGGGGGAGAGGGGGGAGCGAATCGGACTTCCGTCCCTTTCATTAGTTGGTACTGCGGTATTAAGTCTTAAGCTTTTTGAAATGGAAACTTGGCTTTCCTATGGGGATAACTTGGGCTATGAGAGAGATGGGGGGCCGCTTTTCGTTAATTCAACCCGAGATGGAAGCTAAAATAACTTGGCAAAGTTCATCCAGAATCGATTAAGGGGGTTAAAAAAATTTGCTTTGTTTTGTTTTTCGGGGGGAAGGGGGGAGGAAGACGAGAAAAAGCAGCTTCCGCTCAGTCATAAACGCAGAGAAGCAAAAAATATCGAAAGCCATCCATAGTTTTGCATCGTTTTGGGGTTTTCTCCCCCCCCCCCCCCGCTCCGGAAGTCAGAAAGTCTATTTTTTGAAGAGTCACCAAGCAGCAGATCTTCGTGGCCTCCGGATGATGAAGAAAAGCGCGTCATAATTGATAAACGGATGGGTCCAATTTTGAGACATAGTCAGAGAGATGCTCCGTGAAGGAGAAGAGGCAGGGAAAGCGGGAGGAAGGAGGGGAAATAAGTTGTCGCTTCTATAGAAAAGGCGTTAATCTCTGAAACGATGCTTTGATTTTTTTTTTAAATGCAAAAGACAGTCAAGGAAGGGAGAAAAATGGGGAGGGGAGAGGGGGGGAAGGAAAGGGGCCTGAGCTTATGCATGCACACCCTGAAAAGGCACCGAAAAATTCAAGGATCAGGTCTTTGGAAGTGTGTTTGTTTGTTTGTTTATTGGTTTATTTACGCTTTAATAATTTATAACACGTGTTGAGGTTTTTTTTTTAAGTGCATCATCGTTTGCAGAGCGAACATTCTGTGCATTTGAAGCCAAGCGCTAAAAAGTTAGAGTAGTTTCAAAAAGGTTCCCCCCCACTCTTTTTTTTTGTCTTCCATGATTTGTTTGTCTTTCTTTGTAAATGGGTGTGATTTCATACAGTCCAGCTGTTTGTTCTTTGACCAAAAAAAACCCCAAACCCCACACACGCAAGCATGCACACCTGCTCATACACACGTGGAGTCCATATGTCACGTTACTTGCATTTAAGTAGGGGTGTGTGTGTGTTTGTCTGGGTGTGTTTTAAATGCAGAGCAAGCAACAAATGAGAAAGGCGTTTGTAAATATTTTCTTTAATGCACAGAGAGGTTAAAAGAG